CACCTTTCCTGTTCCGGCTCCTTGGGCCCCACACCTGCTCGATCCTGCGTGCTGCTCGCACGAACTCTTGCTGTAACCGTGTACTGAGCACAAGTGGCTGGATACCTGAAACGCTTTGCATGAGTAGACTACTCATGCAAAGCCGCAGCTTTCCGTGCCCTCTGGGCCTCAGCAGCCGAGGCGGGCGGCGTAGCGTTAAAATTATAATGCATATTGCAGGCAAGTCTACCGGACGCTGCACATGAAAGCAGCCCACCTTCCGGTCTGCGTCAAGGAAATGGACGATGTCATCCAGGTGCAAATCGTCAACCATGGACGCAGCTGCAACGAATTCTGCGAGCGAGATCTTTCCAGACTCGTCAATATCGAAGCCAGTCATGGTCGCTCGCCAGAGACGCTCCATTTCTTTCTGTTGCAAGGTTCCATCTCGTATCTGCACATCATAGAGATCCTGCAAATACTTTTCCAGACCGACCTTATCTAACGAAGCGCTGCTCGATAGGATGCTGTAGGCAGCATGAGAGCTCAGCATCCGCGCCTGCGTTTTTCGCAGATGGTCGTAGATGTCGAAAGGCCTGCAAGTCTCTCTTCGATAAATCTGGGAAGGCACCCCCAGCATGAACTCTACCAGGTAGCGCATAAGCAGCGCTGGCAACCCGAACAGGACGGTCGCCGAGATGATCCAGGTCATGATGGGCGTGTGAGAAAAGAAACGAAAGTCGCCCTCGATCCTAAAGCGAGGAGTCACTCCGTACATATAGATCTGATGCTCTGCCACGGATGTCCCGGGCCCAAGCACCAGCTTCTGGACCTCCACATTGGAGTTCCATGCAGCATGTGCCTTGACCGTGATGTAGCAGACCACTCCTTTGTGCGCTTCTCTGTGTGCACCATGACTTAAGTAGTTCAAGTTGAAGTCCAGTATAAAGCCCATTATTCGCAGGTGCCGTGCCAAGTTGGGACTGCCGGTCTGACTTGTCAGATGCAGCGGATCCGTGTCTAAGTCGATGCCGGCACAACGTATCCAATCTCTCAGCGGTGCCCCAATGCCGATCGCTGCCTCCGCCTCACTCCAGGAAGATTGCCCACCGACATCGCATCGGGAGCCGTTGACAGCCAAAAGGATGGTCTGAACACTCCCCCACTCAGGAAGGCCAAACAATGGCAAAGTGGTACTCCCATCGAGTGTGGGAACGAAGTAGTTGTGAGTGAAGACTAAGACTTCGTCTTCTGGATACTGCGCGAAGTAGCTGTCTTTCAGGTTGCAGATACAAGTGGTGTTGCTCACCTCCTCCCAAGAAATCTCTCCATGTTCTGAAACATCTGTTGGCCGTGCCATGTTCATGCAAGCGAGCCTGCTCTGCTCAGTGCAGTTTGAGTATGTCCACATGTAGGTTTCTTCCACGTAGGATGGGAAGTGAAGCCAATCACCTTGCTTGCGGAAGGCACTGCTGCCCACGAGGTGACGACAAGACCGCGGCCTGTACTGCCAAGACTCATCGAAGATTGTGTCATACTGCTCGGGATTGGTGCAATGGTTCCGTGCAGCATGATCCACCTTCGGCGGATCGCGCCACACGGTGACGGAGCCGGAGGAGATGCGAAGCTTCCCATGCCATGCCTCCGTCGAGATGAAGTCAAAGATCACATACGCGAGCGTGGCAAGGACGCCAATCAAGTACAGTACCGCTACTCGCTTGCTCTGTATCGAGACCCGCCGTGGGACCTCGACCCACAGCCATGGCCAGGGATCCAACCACTCGGACAGGGTCATACCCGGTCAGTGCTCCTGGATTCTCGGCTACTTGTAGACATCCTTGGATCAGGAAACCTTCTCGGATGGGCAGAGTAATGGTAGGCCCGGGTTGTGGCAGTGCTTGATGTAGAGCTGTTTCCGGAAGTGCTTGCGACCCGGACCCAGTGATTTTTTACCTACAGCATGTTTAGAGAATCATCTTGTCTCGATTTGTCTCGTCTTGATCTGAGAATGAAGCTGAATCCAAAAGCAGAAGAAAAATTGAACAATGCAAACCAAGAACTTCTAGGCTCTTGCAACTATAAGGCTCCCGCCATCACAGCTCAGCTGCCCAGGTGAAGGCTCGGGAAGCTCTACGCGGCAGTTCCGCATACAAATGTCTCCAGAAAAACCGGCCTCTCAAACCTTCCTCATGCTTTCAACTTCCGTCGGACTTCTGCTTGCTCACGGCGAATGTAAGCAGGTACTAGCCAACAGCAGTAGGCTGATGTCAGGCCGGCAGTCAGATGCAGTACGCTGAATCAAACCTGAATCAACACATCGTAGCCACCCGTTTTCTGCGAGATCATGCGTATGTGAACCGTGCGCTCCGAGCGCTCTGGCGCATCGAGCTTGCCGCCTGGCCGGACTCAGCCCAAATGTGGGCATCTGCCACCTGGTCACCTTGAAAGCTTCTGAACAACCACAGGTGGTATATCAGTTTAGCTCTGTCGCCAAGGTGACAGAACGACAAAACAGGTGTGGTCATGTTCGCTTGTCTGGGGATGCCACTGTGCTTCGCCGCCTTTCGCTGAGGGCTTGAAGGTCCAGCCAGGACAAACCTGCGTGGTTCCGGGCCTCAACCAGAAGGGTCGATCCTCGCAGCGCTTGGCCGGAAATGGCGTGACCCTGGTTTGTCACAGATCTGTCCGTCCAGAGATGGCCCTGTGCAGGGCAGACGGATCGGAGGAACATCGTGTGAGCTTCTGCCTGAGGCCTCTGGACAGATGAGTGCGTCATCTCATCGCGCACGTCGACCTGAATGCCAAGGCTGTGGGAAGGGCGAGCGACTCTGGAAGCTGCGAGGGAAAAAGGGCCCTGCATCCTGGAAAAAGGCATAAGGGCCTGGAAGTGGGCCTGCCAAGACCTTCACGTCGACGCTGAAAGGTGGAGCCTAGAAGCATACATGTGATCATGAGCTCAGGATCCAACGCCAATGAGCATTCCAGCTGCCTTGGTGCATCTTCTTCTTTGTGAAACCATCAACAAATTGCTGAGGCCGTCACCAGCGCGCCACCACAGCCCGTCGTCCATCGACTTCCACCTCGGAAGGGGCCACGCAAGAAGCCTAAGCGCCTCAGTGCGAGCGAAGCGGCCGGAGAAGACCGAGCACCTGGCCCGAGCCCTTCGCAGGAGGAACGTTTGAGGCTACAGGCACCGCACCATACCACACCCCATTCTGCCTTCACACAGAGCCAACAGCACAGTGGTGGCAGCATGATGATGGCCTTACGAGCAAGATTGCTAAGTTTCAGATGCTCCATTGGGACAGCTGGGTGCCGAACGAAGCTTGTCACTTGTCCTGAACGTGATGCTCGCAAAAAATCATGTAGACGTACTTCATTTTCGGAACAAGCACGAAGCTAACGACGTGTCAGCCAAAACTTGCTACATCTTTCTACGACGGTGCAGTGGCCCTCAGACTGCACCCGGCCGGGCACACCGCCCGAAAACCCGGTGCCGGTGCCAGGGTGCGCACTCGAAAAAATGAAGGGAGGAGAGGGTGGGTGCTGAATTTCGGAGCGAGTATTTTTATTGTCTA